TAACTAAGTAAGTCTTTGCTACATAATATCAAGCTTATTTAATTTGATACAAAGATTGTACCTCGTATATCGAACTCTATAATATGAAACAAACAATTGTGTAATTTTCTTTCAAATCCATTTTCATGTCTAATGTCACATTGGCGTCGTTCATCTCCACCAGGCGATAACAAACACGTCTCAAACCATAAAGTTTCAAATAACGGTCAAGTGTTTAATGACAGCGTTTTTCCTGAAATAAAACGCTTATTAAATACTTACCTTATTTGAAACTTTAATTTAAATGCTGCCTGGTGGGTTTTTCGACTCAATGAAGCAAGCGCGCAAAGCCTGCCTGGTGGTCGAGTAGACGTCAGATGTGCGAGTGAAAGGCAAAATATGTAGAAAGAGAGGCAAATAGGCAAGCAGGAAACCATAGAGCCTATCTCAAACCATAAAGTTTCAAATAAGGTAAGTATTTAATAAGCGTTTTATTTCAGGAAAAACGCTGTCACCTATAAGGCATCTTGGAATCTCGATTTTATTGATCAAATGTATTTGAGAATACCACTTTAGGAATGCATCTTTCTGAGCTTCCGGAATCTCAGAATCCCAATCGCAGTAATCACTACACAAATCACGTAATAATAACTTAGGTTTTACTAAAATAGGGCACACTAAACCAATTATGTCAAAAATTTGAGACAAGACTGTTAATTAATTGTATACTATCCAAAGAAAGTGTATCGCGTTGTTTATTCCACTTTAACCCTAAAACATTAGCTTGGTAATGGGTACTATCATCTCTGGAATACTCCCAACAGCGTAAATCCATACCACCTTTCGACATAACTGCTATGGCTTTATCACGAAATTCATTCAATTCATCTATCGAACTCACACTCGTCACACTGTTGTCCACATAAAAAGACTTGAGTAACTTACCAATAATGTCCTTATCATGATTAGAATCAGTGCTATCTAACACAGACAACAAATGATGTTCAATAGTGGCCTCTAGCAGAAATGGGCTACAAGTCAATCCGAATACGACTCTACAATGTCGATAAACCTGTAATTTGTTAGAATCATTATTATCCCACCATAAAAAGCGTAACACATCCCTGTCTTTCCGAGAAACGCTAATTTGTAAAAATGCTTTTCTAATATCAGAAATGACCCCTATTTCTTTCTCCCTAAAACGTAGTAGTATGTTAGGAATAAGTTCAATTAAATTAGGATCAGTTTCTAAACATTGGTTAAGAGAAGGATGATTAGAACAACGCGCTGAAGCATCGAATACGGGGCGAACTGGTGTTGTGCTACTGCTTAGTCGTATCACGGGCTTATGCGGCAGATAATGACAGTTTACATTGTTATACTCACAGTCAGGTACTTTTTCGATAATACCTTCAGACATCCAGTCATTGAATATTTTCCCATATACCTCGTAATAGTTTTCAGACTTTAACTTAGCTGTTACTTTCTCTAATCGTTTGTATACCATTTCTTTGTTACTGGGTAATGAGGGGTGACTATCTTTCCAAGGTAAGAATACTTTGTACTTTCAGTCTTTATTAAAACTTGTAGTCATCTTAAAGAATTCTTTTACCTCTTGTACTTGCACTACTTTACTCTTTCTCTCTGCAGGATCTATAATACCCAATGTATCCAATTTCCATAGATCTGATATATTAACATCGTGGATAAAAAGCGAAATCACAGATAATGTAGTGTCGTTACTCTGAAAATTATCGTTCCTTTTACCAATCAGTGTCCACCCTAACTTCGATTCAATCACACATAATCCATTATCTAACTGTTTCATGTTATTAGTCAATATCTTACCCAACATATCTGCTCCAATCAATAAACTAATCGGTTCATTGTTTTGTTCAATATCTGTTAGAAACACATTCATATTGTGCAATTTTTCAATCAACATTTTATCATTTATTACTGGAATGTCTGCATATTTTTTGTTTGTCAAAAACGTCAATATCACAAGTGAATGACATTGTCAAATTTTGCACGGAAATTCGATATTGATTATGAGTCTCTGGTAATGACGTAGAACCTCCAAAAAGTCCATGTTGAATAATTGTTTTACCAAGTGACTTGTACTGCATATATTCTGCTACTTCCTTTAATATGTAGGAGTGCTGCGAACCAGAGTCTATTAATGTTCGTACTGTCTTCATTTTTCCTTTATACTGTAAATTAACTCGGACCGTTTGAAGGAAAACATTTTGATGAACAGATATGTTAGAAATAGTTTTCATAGTTTGTTGATGTTCAGGATTGAATTGAGAAGTACTGGGCTTTGCAGCATCTCTACACATTAACAAAATATGTCTTCGTCCACACCATGCACATTTTTTGTTCAATTTACATTTACGAAAGCCGTGACCAAATTTCAGACATCTAAAACATACGTTTTTCTCTTTCACTACTCGTTGTCTTTCTTCTAATGTCATCTTTTTGGCTTTATTACATGTCGAACTTTCATGACTTTCGTTACAAAATATACATGAGATTTCTTTGGTGTTACCGGCCACCAGACTCGAAGCCGTAGGTATTCCCTCTTCCGAAATGACACTCGCTTTCTTTGCTTTACTCTGGGTCGTGTTTCTGTTTACAAAACCGCGTGTGGCCATAGATATCCTCTCTTCATTTTCAGCTTCTGATCTAAGAAATTTCATTAGTGCATTTAACCGATTTTCTGGTTCTGGAGTCGATATGCGGCTTCTTTGCCAAACTCTTAATAACTCTTCTGGCAGAGATGACTCTACAAGAGGAAATAACATTGGTGCGCAGGCATTAGAAATAACATTCAAAGATTCTAATGACCTTAGGTTGGATTCCAGCTTGTCATAAAGTACTGCCACTTGAAAGTTGTTTCTTGGCTTAAAAATGTTAATTTCAATTACAAGTTGTATAAGCTTACGTGTGTATAAATCAACCAACAAATCGCTCCGACCAAATCTTGTTTTCAAACTTTCGACTGCCTTGGAATAATTATCACCAGTAGGAAGAAAACTATTTATTAAATCACCTGCTCTAGAGCCAGGAATAACGCTTTGTATAAGGTATTGGAATTTATCTTCGTTACTTAATTCCTCGTCTGCATCTATGTTTTTAAATTGGCTCCAAAATTTTAACCAATTAGAAAGATCACCATCAAATTTGTGCAGTTCTATTTTCGGTAGTCTCATTTTTCGTGTTGTATATTTTTCACTACCACAGTTGCTTGTTGCATCAACATTTTCTTTTCGTGAAAGTTGTGCTATGTCGAACTCTGCACCTATATACTGTGATTTATACTGTTCAACAGATTCCAGTTTTTTTATGATAGTTTCTTCTATAGCGTTATTTTCTATTAACTCTTGAATTACTGCTTCATCTACAGATTGCATCTGCTGCATATACTGGGTTAATAGTTTGAAACTTACCTCCGCATCTTTTATTTGTTGCTTTTCTATATATACTAAAAACTTTTTCATCGTTTTTGTGAACATGGCACGGTACATGCCTCTTTTCATTGTTTTCTCCATATCGACAACCACTTTTTACTTACGTTGGGCGCCAGATATGATTTCGTTGGAGAATCAAAAGAATAAAATCAAAAGAATCAAAAGAGTACCATGAAAAACCATTGAGAAAAGACAAAAACAAAGCCATACAAAGCCAAAAGTCTATCAACTACTTGACATAGAACATCACCTTAAAGTAAAGACAAAATGTATTTAGTAGAAAACCTCTCTCGACAATTAGTACATTGTATAATTAGATAAATTGATTCCAATTTGAGACAACAGATGGTGTTATGCAAGTATGAATCGCGGTATGACCTCATCTCTATACGATTTATATAATCTTTAGTGATTTATTAATTAAGATTTTGAATATTATCGAAAATAAATTGTATGGCTAAAGTTCCGTTTTTTGATAAACCCTCACTCTAGACTACGATTTGTTCACACTAAATAAATTAAATATATTAGTCCAAACACCCTAACACCATAAAAAATATAATTTTAATTATTACGTGTAAGCATCTATTAAGTACTAGTTTTTACAATGGTAAACAATACGAAATGCCAAAACGACTGATGTAATTAATGAAATAGACGACAAAGATCCGAGCTAGAAGCAAGATTATAGAATAGAAGATACAAAATTCTTCCTAAAAAAAGTATTTCAAATACTTGTATCTAAGATAAGTCACATCTCTGTTAACAATGCCATTCACACAAAATTATAACACCATTTTTTACGAACGAAAATAATTTGTATGTCTTTCCACTTAACTGCTTTAGATGTTTTGTTTTTATTTTTTATTTTAAGTTAAACTAATACTTGTGCGCCTACCCATCTTGCCAAGCTTGGTATTCTGACTAGCCCTCTTTGTGAGTGCGGTGAGGATAAGAGGAATTTAAACCACATTTGCCTTTCCTGTCCACGTTTCCAAAGAACCATCTTCATCAATAACTTCATTTTTCTTCAAATTCCATTTCCAACAAACATATCATTACTACTTCTAACAAATGAAGGAGCTGTATATAAATGTATTGTATAATTCTTAAAACTAAATAATATTAAATTATAAATATTTAGGTATATATTATATGAAATATATATAAATAAAAATTTATGTAAAATATTCCTATACTTTCCTGATCCTTTTCCTTTTCACATCGTATCCTTACCTTTATTATCCTTTTGTTTCCCAAATTTTTGTTGGTGGCTAAATGCACTTGTCGTGCGAAGCCAATTAAAAAAAAATTATAAAAGAACATACATACCCATAGAATTAATAAGTACGTTGTACGTAGTACTTATTAATTCTATGTACATACCAAATATAATACTACTCTTTGATACATACATTACTTACTCTATGTTTTTTATTTACGTTCAAAATTCAATAGTATGTCATAATTTCGATTAGATAAAAAAAGAGCATTCAATATTGATAAACAATCACATAATTCTGTATAGAGAGACGTATTATTATTAGAATGAACACCTTGCACAAATTAGCAATAAACTTTGGTGAGACTCATAGGTTATAATTGTTAAGTTTCGTGATAACAAATAATAAACAGCTGTTTCTTTGCAGCTGCCAAGAGCAGGAAAAGGCTTTTGAGGCAAAATCTGAACCGAACCTGGCTACGATGTCATTCTACAGTGGAAAATCCACCAGGAGTGAAGACGTTACCCCAGTTTACCATTCCTACGGGCATAGTTGGCCAAGCAACGTGTCATACGCATCCTCACCTTATACAGCCAGGCTATTTGACTTGTGGTATCACACAGATGGAATACAGAGAGCGAAGGGAGACATTAGTTAATAAACTAGCATCTGAAACACAGAATTCTCATCAAAGCCATGTTGTAAGCAATGTTCTTGTATATTTTTGTAGTTACTTAATTGTTTGCACTGATCATAGAATGTTTTTGTAACAGGAAATGTATATTAGTGTATAGCCACTTTGAGAACACAGGTTTTTTAATGAACAGATTCAAATGTAAATGGTTTTATAATTAGTGACTGCGGAAGCTAATTTCACTGTATTTTTGGTAACCTAAAATAAATAATTAAGTTTATAATGATTTTAAACAAAAATGCTGAAAATCTGGGCATCTGTCATCATCATCATGAGGCCGCCCATTGTGCATTTTAAGTTATTATATCCATTTGTTTTGTCCTGTATTGGTGTACAATAAAGCATATTTCATTCATTCATTACGAATTATGCAGCATTCTGATTTCCAAATTGAGCACATATGAAATCTATTAGTTATTTTTTTCTTATTTCAGATAGTGATACCTGCAGCTCGCAAGCAGTACATGTCAGACAAAATCCCTTATGTGTTCCGACAGAACTCAGACTTTTTTTACTTGACGGGATGTTTAGAACCTTCAGCCATATTGGTGATGGTGAAACCAGCACAGACAGAGAACTTTAAGGTCTGATTACAGATACAGATACTTACTATGATAACTGGCATATCCATAGATACTATAATTTTGTTTGTTAGAGTGTAACCAAATGAGGCACTGTGAAAAACAAACAAAATTTTGTATTTTTTTATAACTACCTCATTTTAGATTTTATCATCCAGAACACTGGTGCTGGCCTTAGAGTAGGGCGCTGAAGATATAGGGACTCTAAGTGTGCCCTGTTTATCTCTGTTAGCTCATTTGGCCACTTGGCCAACTCTTAAATTAAATCATTAGATCAGAGTACTACAGTTCATTTTACAGGTAATCCCTGACCAGAAAAAAACACATTATGTAACTCTTTTTAATATTTCAGTTAAAAACAGTTTGCATTATTTTGACATTACGGAACACGCTCATCTCAATCAAGACAATGGTGCACGCAGTTAAAACTTTTTTTGCAATGGGTTGAATTACAGTTAAGGGCACCATAGACATTTCGCCCAGGGCGCCGGTAGTGCTGCCGGCCCTGCAGAATACAATAATCAATGTTTAAAAATATGTATTTTCTGATATTGAACAGAGGACTACATATTGAATTAGTACTAATTCATAAACCAACAGATTCTACTGGCATATAATTTAGTTGTTTGTAGTGAACCTAATGGGACACTGACGGAAACAGACAAAAAAGAGTTTCTTTTTGGAAATCACTTCATTTTCGAAAACGACGTATTATACTTGTATCTTGAGGTTAGTGCATATCTAACAGATCATAGCTGAGTCATTTTCAAGCTTACTCTGAATCAATATTATAAATTATATGAAATCTATATCTATAATATATAAATTAAGATTATAAATCTGAAGAGTTTGTTTGTTTGAACGCGCTAATCTCAGGAACTACTGGTTCGAATTGAAAAATTATTTTTGTGTTGAATAGACCATTTATCGAGGAAGACTTTAGGCTATATAACATCAACTATTAGGAACGAAGAAATAATGGAAAACGCGGACGTAGTCGCTGGCGGCCACTAGTTTACTTATACGAGGGTGGTTTGAAAAGTTCTTGGCCTGACCAAGAAATCAAAGAATTTCTTTTTCAATATATTCTCCCCCTGTCTCAATACAGTGGAACTTGACATTCGATTTCGGTCAGGCCGAGAACTTTTCAAACCACCCTCGTAAGTCTTAAGACAATTATCTAAGAGTTGCTTATTGAGTAGAAATTTGTTCAGCAAATTTAAGATTTACAAAAGAAAAACATAAGAAATGTTTTTTTATGTGAAGAAAAAAAATAAGACTACCACGACGCTTGTGTAAAACTGTCGATGTTGTTCTCTCTAATTCGTAAATAAATCAGTTTTGGTGGAGGAACAATTTAATAATGAAAAAAAAATATTTTTATTTGCTACAGAGCGTAATGTTTGTGCATGATAAAGATGCACACGCAGAGCTGTGGGAGGGCCCTCGGACCGGATGTGCAGCCGCCACACATTTGTTTGCTGTTGACGAAGCGAGGCCCGTCGAAAACTTCGGCAGTTTCATAAGCAAGTATGGTTATACCTTCTTGTATATATTTTAAAGGAAATCTAGAACGATTGCAAGCAAATAAAATGATTATTATTATTATTATTATCCTATATTTATAATTTACTCTTCCCGACCCCTCGACGATTCGAGGGGTGGGAGGATTCCCCCCGGCAGAGGAGGCCAGACGGCCAGGGGTTAGGGCGACAAAGAGAGAAAACGGCGGACGATCCTTGCGTTATCGAGCAAGATCGCCCGCTGGAGCCTCGCAATCATTGGTCCGTCACGGAGTCCCAACCTCTTCAGATGGTCGTGAAGAGAAGTTGGGACTAGACCATTCGTTGACACTACGACTGGGATGATCTCAGTGAATGACACTCGCCACATATCGCGTACCTCGTGCGCCAGGTTCAGATATTTAAGTTTTTTATCTGATTCGGCTTTCATGAGGTTTTCATCGAATGGGACGGTGACATCCACTAAGAACACCCGAGATTCCGCCCGGTCCATCAGTACGATATCAGGCTTGTTCGCAGGAACAGTCCTGTACGTAATGACGGACCAGTCCCAGTACAATCGAGCGCGGTCGTTTTCAAGAACTGGCTCCGGCACATACTTATAGTACGGCACCTTTTCGCCTATGAGGCCGTATTTGAAGGCTAGCTCGAGATGGAGTATTTTGGCTGCTTGGTCATGTCTGTGCAAATACTCGGTATTAGCCAGTACAGGACAACCGGAAGTAATATGACCCGGAAGTAATCTGACCCTACTAACTTTAGACCTATATCCGTGCTACCTACATTTAGTAAGATTTTTGAAAAAATCATGCTGGATCAAATACAAACGTACTTTTACAAGAATAAGCTTATGAATCGACAACAAATTGGTTTTACAAGGGGTCGCTCGACAACCGAAGCCGGTGTCGAGTTAATACAAGAAATTTTTAATGCCTGGGAGGATTCACATGATGCGTTAGGTGTTTTCTGTGACCTATCTAAGGCATTTGATTGTGTTTTTCATGAAACATTGATTAGGAAACTGCATTTTTATGGATTTAGAGATAACTCATTGGATTTTATTGTCTCATACTTGACTGACAGAGTACAGAGGGTTGATATCAATGGCAAAAGATCCCCTGGATCGAAAATTAAGATGGGCGTTCCGCAGGGCTCAATACTTGGTCCTTTCTTGTTTTTGATCTACATAAATGACTTGCCTTATATCGTAAGGGATGATCACGAAATAGTTTTGTTTGCGGATGACACTTCACTCTTGTTTAAAATTAAAAGAGGGTTACCTCTAATCACCCGTGGAGCCCGCGCAGGGTGAAGCGGGTATGCGTAACGCATTTCTCAGCGTCAAAAAAAAAAAAAAAAAGGGTTACCTCTAAATGACGATGTGAACAATTCTATCGCTAAAGTAGTACATTGGTTTAATGTAAATAATCTTCTCCTTAATGAAGGAAAAACAAAATGCTTAAAATTTGTACTACCTAATGTTAAAAAAGTAGATATAAATGTTAATGTAAAAGATAAGAACATGGGCTTGTGGATACCACAGTATTTTTAGGAATAACATTAGATTCTAAACTACAGTGGGGCCCACATATTGATAAATTGTCGAGTAGACTTAGCTCTGCAGCATATGCCGTAATGAAGATACGTAGGTTAACTGACATAGATACTGCCAGATTAGTATACTTCAGTTACTTTCATAGTGTTATGTCGTACGGTATCCTATTGTGGGGAAATGCTGCCGACATACAAACAATTTTTGTGCTTCAGAAAAGAGCAATTCGATCAATTTATAATCTTAGGATTAGGGACTCTTTAAGGGAGAAATTTAAGGAAATAGACATTATGACTGTTGCTTCTCAATACATATACGAGAACTTAATGTACGTTCGTAAAAATATTAGTTTGTTTTCTATAAAAAGTGATGTACACAATTTTAATACAAGAAATAAAAATAAATTAACGGTGCCTGTCACTAGACTGCAAAAAGTTAATAACTCTTTCAAGGGTCTTTGTGTGCGCTTCTACAATAAGGTCCCAAGCAAAATACAACAATTAGATATCATGCAGTTTAAATCTACTATTAAAAAAATACTTATTAAAAAAGCTTATTATAAGGTATCCGATTATATAACAGATAAGAACGCTTGGACTTGAGATGATCCAGCAACTGGATAGGTGATTACTTCTAAACTCATTATCTTGTTTCCACTATTATTAAATGATTATGTTATTATTATAAGACCATAGTTTTTTTTTATCTCTGTTTATAATGTATTGATCTGGTAATGACATGGTTTTTGTAAATGTCATTACTCATATTAGAACTGGTGAGTTTCTTGCTCGTTCTACTTATCAGCCAAAAGACGTCCTGAACGAGTGGTAGGGAAAAAATGTTGGACGATTCAAAAGTACTTTTACGAAGTCTATTTGAATAAAGATTATTTTGACTTTGACTTTGACTATGCCTGAGTGACTCACCGGGCTGGTGACAGGCTCTACAAACGTCCTCTGTCCCAGCCTTCAGGATATACTTCCGGTAGTTTCGGGTCATAATGACCTGGTCCTGTATTGCACAGACAAAACCTTCGGTTTCCCCAAAGAGGTCCCCGAAGCGCAGCCAATGCACGGAGGCTCTCGGATCCACGTGACGCTCGTGTTTTATTATTATTATTATTGCTTATTAAGGGATTGCTACCATGTACATATATTATATTTCATAGAGTCCCTGATATTTTTGAGTTTTTCAAACCCCGTGATTATGGATACTTAACAACTGAATCAGTGGCATTCCCTAACTATTCTTGGTATTTATTTATTGGCCTTCCGTCGATATGATCTGTAGGAAAACAAGAATATGCAATCGTGAGGAAGGATCAAATTGTACAGTGTCTGTAATCAAGCAGTTTATATTTGTCAAAAATAGAAAATGCCGATTCGCCATCAGATACAGTGAGTGTTGTGTGTCGAGAACAGGTACGAGTAGTGATAGAAAGGACTCGAGTATTTAGCCCTTTTTTTTAGACTTGCAGCCTAATTGACAGAGCTAGAAGGCTAAATAGGTTTTAAACCCTGGAGGTTTATTTTAAAAGAAGGCTTTTGGCTCCTTCCTTCTCCTCTTTAGGGTTGGTCATGAGATATAAAAAATGTAGTGAATGATGCAGGAACAAAAAGTAAGTTTTACATTCATTATCTAACGATTAAAAACATAATCACATTTATACAATATATTTCCGGTATTTATTATTATTTATTATCATTTTCACAATGAATGAAAATAATACTCTAATTAATAATATGTTGTATTTCTATATAACCTGATCTGATATAACTTTTTTGATTTTTTTAATTACAACTAGCTAAAGCTCCAATTACGACTCCAATCTTAAAAAATCCTTCGAAATATAAAAAAGGCCTAAGCTTAAAAAAGACTCGAGCCCTTTTTTAGTAACGAACTCTTAGACTCGAAGCTTTAAATTTAAGCCTAAAAGGCTCGAGTCTTTTCTATCTCTAGATACAAGGTAGCGGCGACTTAGTGACTCACGAGTATCGAATGTAAGAGAACTTACTCTGTGATCAAGACCCATTCAGCAACGCTGAAATATCGGGGACTCTATAAATACATAGTCATACCGTAATTAACAATCGTTCTAATATTCTTACGGTCAGTTGCACAAACGTCCGTTAAGGTTTAATAACACCTTTAATGTCAAATTTGTATGGTTAATGTCGCTTTAAATTAATTAATGTTTTCATGGACCTTAGTGCAACTGGCTGTTAATAAAAAATGCTTAATAAGTCCACTTTGTCCCTGGCACGCTGGGATGAAACTCGAACCCCAGACCTTTCGCAATCCGAGGTTTGGGTCGATTGCCTGAACATTGATGAAGGTACGCTCTGTAGTAGCGTAAAAGTAACAAAGTGAAAAGACATCCTGTATTCCAGCGTACAGCGCCCAAAAATCCCCATAGAACCCATAGAACAATTTAATTTCCTAATATGACAATGTATGTAATTTTGTAGATATATAATTTAATTATGAGCTGAAACAAAACTGAAAGTGTGTGCATGCATGTGTGTGTATGCGTGTTTGAGAGTGTGTATTGGTGTGAAAGATAATGGATAAAGGCACATAAGTTACTAACGTCATAGCATATATATGTTAAGGTTTTCCTCGTAGAATTACGTCAAATTCTCGCCCATCCGTGATATGGTACCACAACGAGAGCCCCACCAACCCTGACATACACGCAGCGGTGCGCACCGCCCTGCGCGACGGGCAGGCGGCGCTGCACGACCCGCAGAGGGTGCTGCACTTCATGAGGGTGTACAAATCACCGGCCGAGATAGAGCTGATGAAGGAAACCTGCTATATTGGCTCGCAGTCCATCAATATGGCCATGGCTTGCACTAAACCTGGTGAGTCCACTGCTTGACTATAGTTGATATAGATCAATTAATCTATGATATATTATTGAAGTATAATAATTAAGTTTACTATAATTTTTTCATAACGCTTTTAAAACAAAAAAAGGTATTAAGGACCTAAACTTTGAATTTATTGTAATTTTATTTTGATCTTTTTATTGATACTTATTTTTTTCAAAAATTCTTATTCAATTGGGAGGACCATCTCTAGCTATCTATCTACCTCACTTTAATCGACGTATTACCGATGTGCTTTTTGAATCCTGTTGAATTTGTAATCATTGGTTATTTTGATGATATATAATTTTAAGATTAATTATTTTTATTGTAATTAATTGAATATTAACTAATTCTATTATTTTATTTATGCATGCGATATACTCGTATAATATACTATTTGCAACTTTGGCAGATTTGGTTTTCAATCTAATTTATAAAAAAACTTGAATTATTGTAATTTAAACCCATTTTGGTTGTGAACTGTATTGTGTCTTAACTTAATAAATCAATAAAAAAAACCGCGTAAGCGGCATCTCGTTGGTTGTTACGTTATTTCTTTATAATGTCTTTGTTCAACCTTTATAATATCTTTGTTAATTGTCCGTTTATGTTTATAGCTGTTCTAATGAAAGTTTCACGTTTCATGTAAATAATTTAATGCCAACATCTTAGCAAATATTTGTAGTACATTTTCCCTACTTTTTTCAAGCTTATAGAGCGTAATGATTTCCAAACATATAAAAGAAAACAACAAAAACAAATGTATAGCTGTCGGTGTATTTTAAGCAAATGATTATATATAGGAGTAACGGAGCACCAGGTGAACGCAGTGCTCGAGTACACGTGCCGCCAGGCGGGGGCGGAGCACCTGGCGTTCCCGCCCGTGGTGGCGGGCGGCGCGCGCGCCACGCACATACACTACATCGCCAACAACCAGGTGCTCGCCCCACACGAGATGCTGCTAGTCGACTCCGGTATACTACTCGCATTAACTTCCTTTAATAACGATAAAATTACATTTAATTCATTTTGTAAATTATTCTATAGGTACTAGATGTCCCGGCAAACCTTGTTACATGTGATATTCTTCTATATTTCCCTAGTAACATATGTTTATTTGAATAGTGAGCTGAAAATCGACACTGTAGTCATCTGCGGCTTACGTCGAGCTGGATCCTTTTGGACACATCTAACAATTTATCTAATAGGGATGACGACTGAGTAAAAAAAATGCAATTCTATTTAGTCCGTCAGTCAGATAATAGGAAAATACTAGATACGTTTTTTTTACTTCAATTTAACAAGAAATAGCTTAGATAACAGGAATTAAAGTAGAGGAGTGGGGGCTCGCTTCGTCACAGTTTAGTAGAAATCGTACCATAACGTGACGTCATGCGAAATTTCAACTCCATGTATAGCCGTAATCATAAGATTACGAAAAAAAAATAAAAAAATACGTGTTTAATATTTTTTAACACTCTACCTGACGGACAAACAAACAAATTAGTCGTCATTCCTATTCTTGTGGTATTTTTTTGCTGTTATAATGTGAAAATGGTGTGTTCAATAAATCATTCATTCATTCAAAAAGAGGCATTCCAGAGATAATGCTAACGCCTCTTTGTTTTGCTTTGATTGACATCTAATGTTTGACAGCTGGAGACAAAACAAAAAAAGACATCCAAATCGGTTTGTCGATTCTCGAGTTTTGCACTTAGCAACACAGTAACCGATTTTTATGTATTTTATACAATTTAACAATAAACCTAACTGATTTATTATCGACGCACAATTGACTTTGTTGCAGCTGTTCCTTTTATGATGTAAATTTGATTTTAGAAATTCAACAATTATAGAGTTGAAGTGGGGGATTTAGTTTATTAGTAGTTGTATTTTGTTCTTTATTAATAGGCTGCCAAAGGTGGACCTACAACTCTGACATATCGCGCACGTGGCCAGTATCTGGCAAGTTCACCAAACACCACAGGATACTGTACGAACTAGTCCTCTCTGTGCAGGTAACTTTGAAAACAATCGTTATCCATTTATGAATATTCAAATATGCCCTAAAATAAATAAATATACACCTATATAAATAAGTATTGGGTAACATCACACATTTCTCGGATCCCAAATAGAGCAGCATTCGAACACCTTTATTATGAAAATCTATAACAATGTAGGTACCATAACACCCAGACCCGAGACAATATATAAAGCACGTGATTCATTTTACTATGGATTTGCTTGGATTATTAAAAACATACACCCAGTTTCTGAATTGAATATTTAAAGTTAAGCACGTCTCAAACTGTAATTAAACGTCACTCAGACAGATTTTCGTTTTTCGTTATAATTTTAATGATGATCTGTTTTATGAAAACAAGGAATTTATCCGCGTGAAAAAACATATGTTGAGATTTTGTACTTTTCTCAATGAGGAAGTATTTTAAAAAAACATTAATTCCCGAAATCAAACTAGACGTCGCTACGCTACTTTCTTGATTTCTCCATGACAACCCTTCCGGTTTTCTTACATGTATAAAAGTAAATAAATCTTCAAAACTCAATAAACAACTCATATTCTATTTGAACTTTTTCGAATTTGTATTGATATCTAAGTTTCGCACTTTGCATATGTGATTTTTTAATATGTTAGTTAAAAGGAACGGATATTACATATCTTTGGTCCATTCGTTTCCTGCAAAAATCAACTTTTGCTAGAGTCGCCATCTAGTGGAGGTGCTTTTTGGTGCTATCTTTTTATTTTTAAATACCTTCTCATTCAGAAACCGGTTTTTAAATACTATTTTTTTATTTATTTATGCGTAGAAACGTCTGATCGAGCTACTAGGGGAGCACCGTCCCGCTCTAGACCACCTATTCGACAGCATGTGCCGGCTGCTCGGCACACATCTGCAGCAGGAGGGAATCTTGCCGAAAAACATTGACGGCAACGAATTGATAGGGGTGAGTAACCGCTCTAATATATGTTACAGTACTTTTTAATTGGTATATTTTACGTGATCTATATATTACTAGCTTTCCGCCAGCGACTTCGCTTATATAATCTTATATAATACATAAAAATCTTCCTTTTGAATCACCCTATGTATGAAAAAAAATCGCATCAAAATCTGTTGCGTTGCTTTAAAGATTTAACATACATAGGGACAGAAAGCGACTGTTTTATACTATGTAGTGATGGACCAAGTGATCAATTGTACTTTATACTTAATGGGGCATTATACATGTTGTCCACTACCTTTTGGGCAGAGTAATACAAACACATTTAATTTTTATTGATTTTTTTTATTTATAACGGGCTCACTCTTGACCTATGAGATGAGATCACTGAAAATAAAACTAAATGTTAATCAAGGGATCCGACCTTTTCTCCGAAAATTGTTTGGCCGATTATCACTTGCCAACCGACGTTTCGTCTATAATAATAATTGACAATTTATTACTCACACATCATTATTAATATTAAGATAATAACGTTGATACTAATGCTAGGGTAGGCAAAGGCGGTCTTATCGCAGAAAGCGATCTCTTTCAGACAACCTTTGATTCGTGTAAAAACACCGGAGGTAATGTGCTAATAGTAAAGATGTAAGGCAAAAATAATATAATGTAATAAATAAATAAATCACTGATACTGAAAGTAAATTGCACAAACATGTGAAACTAACTTACAGTAGTAACGTACACGTTGACGTTTGATAGAAAGCGTACCGCCTGTGCCCCCACCACGTGTCTCACTACCTCGGTCTGGACGTGCACGACGCGCCGCTGGTGAGGCGCAACTCGCCCGTCGGCACCGGCATGATAGTCACCGTCGAGCCAGGCATGTACCGGTACTATATCACACACACACGCACACGCACACGCACACGTACACACACACGCACACAAACACACAACAACACACACACACTTGGAAAATCGTCAATCAATCAGACATCGTAGATTCAATCTCTGTCTGATTACTCTCAATAACTTAAGTTACAAATGGCAAAAAGTCCTAGCCCTATCAAACTGCTATCTACTGATCATTGACAAAAAAAAATCAGAAATGTAAACGTTATAAGTACGGTTTGGGACGTGCTTAACTTTAAATTCTCAGTTCAGAATTGGGTCTATGTCTATGAATTTATTTTAAAATACATTTAGTGAAGCTCGTTTTTTAGGGCCCCCTGATACTAGCCCCCGGGACTAGTGCTCCCCACTATCGAATCAAAAATATTTTTTTCTACGCTGCCGATACTAAAACAACACCTACGCCCTAAAGTTTGTAACTCGAAGCCTAATTGTATGGTTTTAAAATCCATCTCAATGCCTATCATTTTGACATTTGAAGGATATTCACGAACTTCATGCTCTATTTGCCGTGTGGTAGCGATTGCGTTGGCAATGTTTTTTTTTTAGTTATATTAAATGAACAATATCGTTGATAAGTTGATAGTTCAAACAATCATTTGCACCGAAAACCATTGCTACTTGAAACGTTACACAACTCCCAATTCCCCGTTATACCAATGAAAGTTATTGAAATAGATTTCAGTCACAGATTCTATTCTTATTTGGCTCGCGTAGTATTTTGATGGATACCGATTTTGTACATATTCGTATTAAGACTGCACTATTTCGACACTAGTCTTAAATAAATGTGTATACCTTTCATTGGGAATCTATTCGACACCAGTCTTAAATTAATGTGTATTCCTTTCATTAGGTATCTATTCGACACCAGTCTTAAATACATTAAATCCTTTCTTTAGGTATCTATATAAGTCCGGACGACGAATCCGTGCCGGCAGAATTCCGCGGCGTTGGTATACGCGTTGAGGACGACGTACTGATCACGGACGGCGATCCGCTGGTACTGACCGACGCTTGTGTCAAAGAACCTGACGACATAGAAGCGGTCGTTGGAAAACACACGCTTTGAATTAATTTGATGATTAACGAGGAAAGGCAATGCTTAGAGGGTTCGAATGTACCGTGGGAGAAAGAAAATGTTTGTCACCTTAAAGTCGAATTTCGCTTACAGCAGCTTAATAATCAGTACCAATTTAACCAAAAAGAATATGAAATGATTTGCCCAATACTGTCAATATCAATTTTATTTAAGAATGACAGTTCTATAGCAGCTCCTTCAATCAAAGAATTACTGTACTTTGGATCATAGCAACTATTTCCTATTATACATTTATGGTAGGGTAAATTAAAGATTTCAATCAAAACAATGACAAAACTTTTAAAGAAAAATCAACCTTATCATCAAGAGTTAAGCATAGGTTTATATGCAGGATTATATTTTGTGACTTAGTGTCATAAGGTAAGAAGTGCTCGCGACTTCAAAGGAATCGGTTTGAAGTTTGAAACTTGACGAACCTTTTCATTCCCCTACTGTACAGCCTCCTTCACAAAACGATCTCGGTAATTGGCTACTTGACATTTATAACAATAAACTATAGAATAATTTAGAAATGGTTACTTATATTTATACAATAACTATGTATTATTTATTGTTTTATAATAAATTGTAAGAACATAAATTTTGTTGTTGAAAATTTAATTTGCTATTTATAATCTGTGGATTACAAGAACGAAACGCGGGCGGCCATGTCGGAGCAATGTGTGACGTCACATTTCACTTATGCAAACTTTCTTTTGTGAATGCACCAGGTACTCGTGTTTATGGAAATATGACGTCATGGCTCAAAATGTCACTATAAACGACAAATATGATTTTTCCTTTATTTAACAACACTTTTTGGTGAATAATAAATCTGGTTGTGGTTTAAATGGTCATATAAAGTTTAAATTATTTTTCCCGAACAGTCAAATAGCCAATCGTACCTTTAGCACGCAATATTATAGTTTTAATCGAATTCGTACAGAGCACAAAAGCCAATTTTGTACACAACTCCATCTACCCCTGTAAAGTGAACTAAGATTACCAATACAAAATATTTATATGTACAATTTCATTATAATACTAGCAGACCCAATATAAATTAATAAATATGTATTGTACAATACCAATATAAATTAATAATAATATATCTTTTCACTCGTAGTATTTTCTCTTTACAAATCATCAACTAATTTATTATTATCTGTAAATTATTATTTTATTTTTAAGTTATTAAGTTACAACTTAACAGCGCGAATAGAATAATGGAATTGAAATCTACCAGAATGGGATAAAGTTCTTTTTATTTATAATCTAACAAGTATTCAATTGAGTTAAATTGACTCTCTCTTCGCAAGTTCATTAGTCATTTATTGAAGAAGATGAAGCAAATGTCTTAACGCTCTTGATATAACCGCCTTATGCACAAAATCATAGCTAAATATATACAATACACAATTACCTATCCCATATATGTTGTTGATTTTATTTAACCCAGATAAATATGTAAAAAATTATTGAAAGTTTTAGGGTCAATTCATCCTAGAACCGAAGTTACTATTTATCTCAAAATAAATATAAACGTTAAATTCTTAAAACAAGGATGAATATATTCAAATTGATGATTCTATGTGCTTTCTATTATGAATTGACCCTTAGGTAAATTCTTGTATCAGGAAAGCGTCGCATTTGGAGTGATTTTATCATAAGAATTTCATTTGCACGTAACGTGCTGTTTCTTAAGGTAAATAGTAGTAATAAGAGTCAAATTAGCGCGTACCTCCAAAGTGCAACTTTCGGTCCTGTCTGCATAAAATCTAATAACTTTTAAATTTGATTATATAAGACTGTATTCGTATAAATAAACTATACGTATTATTATCTGAAGTTTGTACTATATGCCTAATATGTTTGTGAAAAAAAAAAATTTTTATTGTACGGCGTTGTATAGCCCAGTGATAGTTCCAATTTGTATATATAGCCGTTTTTTGTAAATAGACAATAAATGCTGTTTTGAACGTAGTATGTATTGTTTTCATTACCATAACCAGAAATAATTTCTAGTTTAATAATTTTTTTATTTCTTGTGAGAAATACATATTTTAAACCATAACAAGTAAAATTATATTTAGACGGCAGTATTATAGTATTGGGTTCGATTCCCGATCGAATATTTTAATTATACATAGTAAAATATCATATATAAAATATCACTTATATCGGAGGCAAACTGCTCAGCGATGATAACTTTAGCTAAGTATATGTTGTAAGTAAACGCTACAGGAATTAAACTTACACGTTTGACACAATGATAAAAATAATACAACAATATTTATGTAAATCTGTATACTTTCACGGGTTTGTAAGTATATTAGTTACATTGTACTTGAAAAAAAGGTACAACAATTAAAAAGATATAGCTTCGATTGCATGTGGCGCTATTCACAAGAAACAACGTTTGTAATGTGGCTTCACGAAATAAAATTAGACCCGAAAACATCTATTGTATTACTTACTTTAATACGAATATTATTTATAAACTTATTTACTTAACTAAAAATGCTGACGGATACTCTCAGATCTACATATTCGAATAGAATAGCGTTACAGCTGATTTACAGTGACCGATGGGCTCAGCATGCAGAGCGCGAGTGACCTCTGCGGGTTCATCTCACTGGTCTATAAAACAATGACCAATGTGACGAACAGAAAGTTTCACATGTATCAATTACTTTGCTGGAATATAAAGCGTGACACAGGAGCAAAAAGAATAAAACCTTTTAATATTACTATATCAAATAATTTCAATATCTGCTCAAGAATTAATTCTTGAAATATATCGAAAAATGGAATATCTTTTTGATTGTTACAAGACACTTGATGACACTAAGTATTTTAAACTTAAATACTAAATAAACAACATTTAGGGACACTTTCATGTCTTGATTAATTGCAATATATTGAATTCATTCTTTATCTTGACACGTAATTAAATAAAGAAGTAGTATGTAGATTTTTAACTTAATTTTAAGTATGTTTAAACAAACAAATAAGCAATAACCAGCAAGTTAAAATTTAGTTAACTATTTACGAGCTTAATTAAAGTTAAATTTGACTCAATACTACTTATTTATGTATTTACGTATACGTAAACACTTTAAAAGTTTAAAATGAACTCACTACTTACATAATCACATGTAAACTAGCCATTAGAGCCATCTAGCAGACATCTATCGCAATTTATCAAGACAAAGGAACTTCGCCTTACAAATAAAAATCATAGTCGAAACCAGCACGACTTTCATATTTTTATAAAATATAATGTAATCACTTAACATTAGACGTTTCATAGGAATACAGTAGCCTTCGTGTAAATAATTAAATGAGAAAAGGACAGGTTTCAAGTGTGCCAGGTACGTACAATCAATAGCATATCATGGTTATACAGAACTATCGAATTTTCTCCACTTGATTTTAAATCTTAACGTATTATATGTAGACTCCAAAATCAATTGAGGAAATACATATTGTGGGAGCCTGCGCAAAAAGTAACACCTGAAACCATTTGGTTACAATTAGTGCTCCACAAACAAACCATAACCACCTAATATAAAAGGACCGTCGACATATCGCACACCTAGATCTAAACTGAGACAACTCAAAAATTTGAGCGAGTTTTGACTTAGTACAATATTCAAATACTTGGTGATCATACGCATCTATCCAACATAACAGATTCAATAAAGGTTCGGGGATGAGCTGCTAGATAACTTTAGCTTTCTTTTGGTGAATCAACAATGGTTGCACTCCTGCCACGTAAACAAATGTATTGTCAAACCTCCAAATTAGTTTTTTTGAGTTGTCTTAGTTTAGATCTAGGTGTGCGATATCATCGATGTTTACTACGTACACAATACGTAACATCAAAAAACATTATCAGCATAAGTTATTTTAATGCTTATAGTTGATATACATAAATATAAAACTAAATTATTTTTATAAAGAACACTTTAGTTACCGAGCCAACAGAGAAGTATTGCTGCAAGCGTACACAAATTACTAAGCTTGCATCAAATCATGCATTTTACCAAACAAATAACACCTAGCAATTCCAGATCCACATTCATTATTATTTTTCATGTCCGGAATTAAGTATTCCAGAGTTGTTTGAAAGAAAGACTCAAAAACGAGGGTAATATTATCCTTATAAGTTTTTATAAGAAAATGCCTTGGAGATTATCAACATCTATAAATTATCCCTATTGCTAATGTATAGATAGCTGGTAGTTTACTTTGTATTGCACATTGTTCATCCGTGTAGCACTAAATGTAGCCTTCAAAACTCAATAAAAGGGAATGTTATGAATGTCTTTTATATTAATTATAATAAGAATTTATAGTTAAATAGTTCATATTTTTCATCCACAATCAGATACATTTAATAGTTGGAATAAAATAAATAGTCTATCGACATTTATTTACCGTATATAAAATAAAAGCCAATAAGTTTCTTTTATACGTCGTGGACGTATCGTAAAATTGACCATTTCATAATCCGGCCGGCCATTTCATGAAATGGCCACCTAAAATTGATCATATTGTTTAAGCGTCAACGTTTAAGATATGACAATCCACGTTTGGTCATATTATTAATAAAAATTCATATTATAAAAAAACATTATGTATCACAAAAATAATGCGACTATTACTGAGACTAATGTAACTTTTTAACGATATCATAATACGATTAACCGCCCATATCGTTAAACGTAAATAATTCATTGATCTGGCCAGGTCACATCATTAATTGGTCAATTCTACGATTTGGCCACGACATCTATACTCTATGAGGAACGTAATCAAAAATAAACATTTATGTAATAAAAAGGTGAATAAATCAAAAATATCTTAATAAATAATTAAATTTTTGCTATCAAGCTTAAAAAATATACATACGTGTATGTACCTTTTACACGTCTTCGCACAACCGCAACATAGATTAGATAATGAACTTTAAAGTTCTTAGAATAAAGTGCTGCACATTTAAGAGACCGCCCATATAAATTCACAAACTCTTCAATAACGAATGATTACACTAAACAAATGGAATACAACAATAAATCTTATTATCAGCACATAAAGTGTAATAATATATTGTTCACTACCCAAAAAAAATACATTAAATTAATAGCAATGAGGACTGTTTTGAGATTATAAACTTCATATTATAATTTAAAATATTTAAAGGCTAATAGCGGGAAGATGTCACACGTTCAGAAATGCGTTTTTACGACTTATACTAATCGAGTTACATTAAAATTATCGTTGTAACGCGATACACCGACGCATTCGCTTACGAATGCGAAACTATTGTAAATGCAAACAGGGCTGTGTCACCTTATGAGAAAAAAATTATATGAAATTGTATTTATCATTTATCGGCGCAAAAACCCGGACGGGTGACAACCCTAAATGCGAAACATGTGCGTCTAACGTTTTTCGCAGTTTACCGCGAAACCGTACTGACAGGGACGCAGCTATTCCACCGAGTTAATAATAGAGCGAGCCAAAGCACAAGTGAAACGATTGCGTCGGTGCACTAACGGCATAACGCCGATAAATAGCAGTGATTGTCATTCGTTGCGGATCAGCGCTCGTGAATCGTCGGCGTCAGTCGGCTATGGTCGTGGAATGGTAACGTTTGTCTCACCAGTCGGCGTCGTCGGGCAGTCCGCCGGGGTAGTCTCCAGTGAGGCACGCGGTACAATGACCGCCGAGATCGTCGGAGGGCGCCACTCGCATGTTGTAATGTACCGCGCTCACTAAACCTTCCACGCTCAAATACTCGAGACTGTCGGCGCCTGCGTTCAAGCAAACCGTACGAAAATTAATAAATTTCTTCATTACAATCCAAAATTTAAAAATTTCTCTTTATTCGAAAAACAACACCACAGTTTTAAATAGTCCATATTTTTTACATACGGGTTTGGCCTACGAGAATACTGGACTCGACTTTTTAGATAAAAAAAACTTTGAATAGTTTAATATTTACCACATGATTTTAAAACGCAATATATAATAATAGCTGGTTTACCATTGGTGAAAGATTTTTTAAAATCGGTTTAGTAGTTTCAGAGCTTATTCAATGCAAACAAACAGACAAATCTGTCCTCTTTATAATATCAGTACAAACTATCCTATTTCTTTAATAGTATAGTTTTATTTAGACGTGCACAGGACGCTCAAGTGAACACTAATGCATACGCGCATAGGTGTCACGCACGCTCTAAAACATATATATGTGGGTTTAAAAAAACTAGATTAATCTCGAAGTGGAGTTGATGATCATAACATGTTCTATCTGCCTTTTTAGGCGCGTTCACAATCTAATAATATATACTCACCGACGTGCTCGGCGAGTTTGTAAGAGTCCATCTTATTGGCTATGAGCTCCTCGCGTGTGGGAATGTTGATGCCCATGTAGCAAGGGTACTTGAGGGGGGGCGACGCTATACGAATGTGCACCTGAGAATATACACACTAATACAGTTAGTGTTCACTCAAAACCAATCATAGGCATAGAAAGAATAACATGGATAAGACATATTTCTTGAAAATATTTTTTTATTCAACTGAATATTGTTATTTTTATAGTGATAATATTACTACTCAATTAAAAATTGAAAGCAATTTATCAAAACAATATGATTAACTTACTCCACTACTATTTAACCTAAATGCTGTTGGATCCTATTTTATGATTTAAAATCGGAATACCATCTGAAGCTTTTATTCCATAATTCGTAAGTTCCGGAAAAAATCAGAAACATTATAATCAATAAATCCCGACGGAAGGTCCATATTCATCTGCCACTGTATATTGCAAACAGATGGCATAGTATTTCGGCATTCAAAGGTACTTGTGAAGTCTAGATTGAATAAATGACTTTCAAGTTTGAATGTACTATATCAATGAAAATATATGTGCATTAAAACTTAAATATAACTTACCTCAGCTGCTCCTGCGTCTCTCAGCAGCTTTATAATCGGTCCTATAGTATTTCCTCTGACTATTGAATCGTCTATGAGCACTATACGTTTTCCTCTGACGTTTTCGGAGAGAGCGCCGAACTTTTTCGCCACTCCGAGCTGCCTCAATCGTGTGGACGGCTGGATGAAGGTTCTACCCACGTATCGGTTCTTACATAACACTTCCATGAACGGGATTCCCGACTGCCGAATATACCACAATAAATTAATGTAAAAAGCAATAAATTTGGAAATGGCAGTAAAAAAATGCCATTGATTAATCACATCGATAGATTATTTAATACAGAACTAGCTGTTTTCCCGTGACTTCGCCCGCGTAAATTATAGCCTATATGTTAGTTTTCTATCATATAGCTTCCCTCAGGTGAAAGAATTTTACAATCGGTCCAGTAGTTTCGACGCCTACTCGATGCAAACAAACAAACAATTAAATCTTTCTTCTTTATAAAATTAGTATAGATGGATTTTTGAGACAGGACAGTCAAGACACGTCTCCTAGATGACCATGACTACGATCCTAAGAGACCATGACTTTCCAAGTTGCTTTGAACTGCATTCACAGATTTTGGAAAACAGTTACAAGAAGTGTATTTGTTTTCCATCCTTAATCTCGAAAATCCATCCTCTATACAAAAAAAAATTACTACAATTCGAGTTTCGCACGATTAATTCCTCATTATTGCAAACCGGCAAAAAAAATGCAATCAATAGTTGAGTGATCTAATTTCAAAACGCGCTAACGCTCTTGTAATATATCGAACCGCTGAAATGAGTTGAGTGTAATTTTGAACCGTCGGTGGCCGGAGTAGTGCACAGTATCGAGTATCAGCGTACCTGTCTCGCGTACCCGTGCGCGGCGGCGGTGCCGGACTCGGGCACGGAGGACACGATGTCCGCGTCCACGGGCGACTCGCGCGCCAACATGCGCCCGCACTGCATGCGCGCTGAGTACACCATCTGTCCTGTATCAATAGACATATACAAACATTAAGACTACCCCGCATTCCTTATATTTGGACTAGAAACACATAAAAAAAGAATCATTCAAATTGGTGCAGTCATTTTTATATATATTGTTACATAGAATATTTGACACATGTGTGTCAAAAACAGGTGGTCTTCATAAATCGTTCCCTTCATTATGATACAAAAAAAAAGTAAGTCTGACAGGAATTGTCAATAATAAAATTGCTCGTCACTTGTTTTATTCATAATATAATATCCCTTATATTAACAATTAGAACTATAACAATATATAGATTTAAATAACTCACCCTCGAACATGCTGTCGGCTCTAGCGAAGTACACGTATTCGAAGATGCAGAACGCCTGCTGTTTGCCAGCGGGTCTCTCTACGACGGCGACGGTGCGTATACCGCGCCGCGACATCTCCACTATTTCGCCCGGCAACACCTCGCGCACGTACCGCGCACCTATAGACATATCACGCGTCTTTGATATCTACACCGCATACAGATACGGATTTGCAAGCTTGGCCGCTCTATCTCAAATTGTTACTAGCCACCCTTTTTGAACTCTCATTATTTATGAATGAACAAGTATTTACTTAAAGTATTTTAAACACACAAACTTCATTTGGCGTTTCTCTTATCATGAAAAAGTTCTTAAATACTAACGGCCGTGCAACCCGGCAAAAAACGCAAGCTCTTTTTTACCCGGTATTATAAGTATTTAATAATGCAGCGCGATAGTTTAAAAGTAAATATACCGATAGTATAGGTATATGGTGTATTACAAAGTAACTTCATACAGTAAATGTTCAACTTTGCAAGTTATCGTTTATATATGAGACTTACCAATAGACAGGAAACCACATGATTCTGAAGAGACAACCCAGCCCTCCGCCTTATCATCCACGCCGTTTTTCGCGCAACCATTCATTAGGACTGCAATTGGACAACACACATTACGTCATCATCTACAAACAAAATAACGTAAACAAAAAATATCTATCACCAAAAATTACCATTAAAAAATACAATTCTTATCTAAGCAGAGAAAAGTACCTACAACTAATGTTAGTAGAAACATGCTAAGACAATATTAAAATATTATATTTTATGGAATGAATATGAGTACATCAAAGTTATTCCAGACAAAAGCCTCCTACTACCCTACGGTTGAGATTCAATTGAAAGTCGTGAAACAATAAGGTCTATTTTCCCTTGTATATCATGACAATATTGCGAATATTGCTTCAAATGTCAGAAATCTCAGATAACCTTTGGAGTGTATGATATACAAAAATAGTACGAAAAATATTCCGTCCATGCGGACTCGTACATGCAGATAAAAATATTTTTCGTACTATGCGAGTGAAATTAGAATAGGACTGTCAAACAGCCATCTTGGTTCGCATTGCTCTTCAACTAAACGGTGTAAGTATGTAAAAAAATATTTATTATTAAAGGATTAAGCTACACTGACATTTCTAATTGAACCCGAAGTCATAAAATGGCGACGCATTTAAAATGACAAGCGTTAAAGTTACGACAAATATCGTCAACATCATATTTAGTAATAATGTAAATACTAATAAGAAATCCAATAATTCAATATAGATAGGTATACTTTATTTTCTTTGCTGTAAGTAATAAAATGGCAGCTCTGTCATGAGGTTTGAAGCTAACACAATCCTATTGTTATTCAGCTCGAATGGTAAATCAATTATTTTTCGATTTTATCGTATAGAAAACAGTTACTTTAGGTTAGAACTGTAATGAGAAGTTTTCTAAGCATTTTCCTCAGTATCCCATGTACGTACACTCAACTGATCCAGAAAAGGTAATTCTTCATAATTGAGCACTCGAATTTATTATATTATAACCAGTGGTCGGAATTAGGTAGAGTTATTCATGTACTTACACTGATTTCATACAGCGAAAGAATAAAGTGGATTTGCCTCAAATCCCAAGATTTATTTTAAATAGCAGAAAAAATCCCGTGATTTTTTAAATAAAAAATTATTTACTTTTACAAAATTTAAACTACTGCACGCACGACGTTGCCAAACTTACATCAATGACATCGGATGTCCAAAGTTAGAAATTATTGTCCATTAGAAATCCCGGGAAGGTCCACATTAATATCAACATTTCTATGCAAGTACATAAATAACTTTACCTAATTCCGACCTCTGATTATAACAATCTTGCATTCACGATGCTATATTGATATTTATTTGAAAGAGAAATGCTTAAAATTATCCCCAGTCTGAAGTGCCCAAGATGTAAGTTACATTGATAAAAATCACAACCGGTAAATTAGAACACTAGCGCCATCTGTCCAGACTTGAATTAATGAAAACGTGACGTTCCACCTTCAAACCTAAAATCTCGAGCATATCGACCGCACCGAAGGAGGCGAAACCGAATTCTAGAAATTATTTATATGAAACATTTGAAACACCATACTCGCCGAATTCCTTCTGCAGAGCGATTCCGTAAACATGTGAACCCGAATCCAAATTCACTCAGGTGTTTCCTAATTCACTTCGAAACCGTCATTTGTTTTACCTTGATAGAATATCTGACATGTATCTTGTTTTATATTTTTATATAAAAAATTAAATCAACAAAATTTCTACACCTGACTGATAATCGAATTCTGTTTCGGATTTTTTACGAAATCGCTCTGCAGAGGTGTAAAGAAAATTCGTTTCATTCACCTCCATCGGCCCGGATTGAGTTGCTATGAGCTTTAGAACATCCTAAATGTTATGTATCCAATCACCGATTATATGTTTACCTTTATTCTAGAACATGCTATTGTTAGTATGCCATATTAATGTATGGTAACAAGAGATGAATGTGAAGTGCATTACCCGCCGCATGCTGTGATGAAGACTGTTTGTAGGCATCTGAAAAATGTGTAACAATGTTTAGATAAATATGTTACACGGACATACATATAATTTAAAATTCAGTTTTTTCTACTTAAACATAGAAAACGAAGTGAACATCATTTTCACATTTAGAAAACTTATCCATCATGCTCGATGTATGATTTCTGATTAGCATCGTGCTAATGTATTTATTCTTAAATTCAATACAAATTAGCACAAGAGAATATTATTCAACGCATATTTTATTGCACACTTATAGATATCTAGATTGTTGACACAAATTAATTTAGGAAATACTATATTAAGTCTGGGTTCGTAATTATAAAGATAATTATTTTTTTACATAATTATCCATACTGGCAACAATTTCTTTAAATACAGCTAGGCATTTCATAATTTAATGACATACAAACAAAATAAACAAAAAATAACTGGCAAATCACATTGAACATTGTTTTTGTTTGTTTTGTAGGTCTATTTTAGACAGTTTTCTGTGTCAGAAAAAGCATGCTTAAAGATGATTCCCCTTTAATTTCAAGTCCTAAAGTACAAAAACAGTTTGTGTAGTGCTTAATTATTATCAAGATAATTATCAAGGTATATTTATCAAATTAATTATCGTGATACTTATCGCGATAACAATGATATTTATCACTCCGAATCCTGTTAAAGACACTGAAATAATACTAAATGGGCACCTTACATGTTTAATGCAATCAAAATTGCAATGCTAGTCTGGTATATGCGCATCAAAAATAAACAAATATCGCTTAAGGTGAGAGAATACTTAGGAGTAAATAAAAACGTGTAGAAAATTTGACTGGTTCCAAAATATTCATAATATAAATTTCATTTAAGTACACCTTATTAATATTCTTAACAAAAATCTTTTTGTCTCCTATATTTCATGAAACTTACTGAATTCCATGTATTTTATACCTTTTAGTAAATGTCGATCCATGCATCAACTTATCCTTTGGAAATACATGCAACAGAATATTGAGGTTAGTTTTCCAAACCACTCTATAATTGCAGTGATTATGAGAGAGGCCTTACTACGTTGGAATAAAGTTGAAAATGCATACACGTGATCCCTCGTAATTAGTAACGAGCCTACAACGACCGGTGATAAGTAATCCGTACGTTTTTGTTGTCGTGCAATGTTGTCACATCTAATGAGTTACCTTTGTATTGATTTAGTTTTACATGTAACTATCTAATTTCAAAATCTACCGCAATCTCTTTCGAAGTTATTATAATAGCGATTTTCTGACTTATGTATCGCGATCACTCTGGCAACTAATGCTGATTCGAATTATCAAGAAACATATTAAAAAAATATCTAAACATGTAATCACCAGTGGTCGGAATTAGGTAGAGTTATTCATGTACTTACACTGATTTCATACAGCGAAAGAATAAAGTGGTTATGCCTCAAATCCCGAGATTAATTTTAAAGAGCAGAAAAAATCCCGTGATTTTTTATATAAAAAGTTATTTACTTTTACACAATTTAAACTACTGCACGCAAGACGTTGCCAAACTTACATCAATGAAAGGAAGAAATAAAGAAAGAAGAAATAAAGATATAAAGAAATCCCGGAAAGGTCCATATTAATATCAACATTTCGATGCAAGTACATAAATAACTCTACCTAATTCCGACCTCTGGTAATCACAGATAACATTTCATTGGAGATTGCTCAATAGCTTTCAAGATATTTGCATCTAATGCTTGCAACAATTTATTGCGATCGCATTCACTATCACATGTCAAATAATTGAAGCGTGAGGTTCGTGAAGATATTTAATATGCCAAAATGAAAGCGATTGCGTTAGAATGTAAATTAACCCCCAGTTAAGACAATTAACCTCCAGGTTTATAAAATAATAATATTTAAAAAAATATATGATTAAGTACAATTATGATTTAACACTTACAGGAAGAGCCTAGTGGTAATATCTTGCCCAAACACAGCGGCCTGTTGCCGTAAGGGTCCCGCACTGCGTAGATCTTATCCTTCAGCATTATCACTAGCGAATAACTCAGCGGCGCCAACCTGCGTCAACAAAATCTATCTACTACTCGTACGAATAAACAAGACTCCTGAGGTCCTATTCTATTTCTTTCTAATACGCAAGAAACGCATTTTTCAATAATTCATAATACCACGGAGGTAGGACCTGACACTATATCTGATACACAGACAATCTTCACGAATGTCGAAATTTAATGAATTTTCATTGAAGGTCTTCGGGTATTCCTAATTCTGAATGTAGATGTCAGTCAAACAAGTTATAGTTTATAAGTTAGTAGATCGATTCGAGCCGAATGAAACGAATGAAACAAATTATCTTTACATTTCGACAAAAAATTACAGATAGACATTAAAATTTTAGAATATAACAGTTCGTGCTCTAACTATAACACTCGTATATATGTTACACTTAAAGCTCGAAATCGTTCATTGAGCGAAAAAATAGTTCACGACGCGTTGTGGTCAAAATAAAATAACCACATAGCGAAATCCGTGTCGTGACTGTCATACTATTCGACCACAATGTGTTGTAGTTCAAGAATATAAGGTTGCTACGGAAGATCAGCGTCGAACTTTCTAAGACATGATGAGTGGCTGCCTTTTCAGTGTCTTTATAGTTATATTCGTTTTTCTTTTGTTTTCTTATATGGTCACTGAATAAATAAGTTTCTTTCTCTCCAGCCATGGAGAGAAACCACGAAGCGTATTGAACCATATTTGATTCGGTCAGGTTAGAATATGACAAACAACGCACGAGCCAAGCGAGAAAAACGTGCGCGCTGAGGTAGCGGCCGGCGAAGTGCCAGAAGCTCACAACGCGTTGCGGCTTTTCTTCATTGCCACAACGCGTTGAGGTCGAATAGCATGTCAGCTACGACACGAGTTTCATCATCATCGGCCATTTTATGTCCCCACTGCAGAGGGTCAGGCTTTCCTTTTGGATGGTTAAGGAGGATGGGCCATGAGCCTCCACGCTGGCCCAATGCGGATCGGAGGGTATTAACTACTGCAAATGCTAAGACCAAGGGCTTAACGTGCCTTCCAGGTTAAGCCCTTGGTCTTAGGTCTATAAAGGACGGAGTAGCTCGAGATAATAATTTTTTGGTCAAACATCCCGTGACCGACCCTTGCGAAAGTTGCTTAATGACAACGATCGCGAGCCGCGGCGCTTATCCACTCCCCTACGCTACCGAGCTACTCGGCTATACTCGACACGAGTTTCGCTATGTGGTTATTCTGCGATTGCCACAACGCGTTGTGAGCTATTTTTACGCTGAGCGATTTCGATCTTTGAGCGTAACACATACACATGTAAATACGTGCTTGCGCAAATATGCAAGTGTGCGGTTGTTTATATAAGTCGTTTAAAGAAATCTAAAATTCCTTTTTCTCGCCTCATTCGGCGCGTCCCATTCGGCTTGATTCGAGTTTGCATAAAATACAGACATATCGTTGTATCGTGTGAAATAGAACGCCGATATTTTGACACCAATACCTACACTGAAACATGTTAGCCCCTTTAAAAAAAAATCAGCTACGGCTAGAGTACTTGTCTTTTATAATAGAAAATATACATTAAAGAAAAGTTAATAAAATTATTTTGTGAAAAGACTTTCTTCGAATGCTGCAATTGAAGAAATTCAACTCCTTAAAGAGTGAAATAGAGGTTGAAAGTATATACAGACTCATACGAAAGTCGTCCTTTTTCAATTAATAAATATGAAATTTATCTTTAACAATGAAGTAGAGGTCTGCTAAGAAATGATTTATAACATCCAACCCTTAGGGGGGTTTAATGGCTATTCGAAAATCAAGTAATCCACGCAGACGAAGCCGCCGGTAAAGCTATACTCCATTCATTATAACATTAGAAAAAGAGGATCATAGAAGCAGCAGTGCAGAACATTTTATTTTGAAGATAAATTTAAAAAATATATATTATAGTTTTGTTGAAACTTTGAACGTTTGTAGTCTGAAAGAGGTGGGCAATTTTCCATTTTTTACGATACCTCGGGGTTGAGATGATTTTCTAAGGTCAGCATTTTCTAAATTCATCTTTTACTCTCAAGTGAACATGGAACTAAAACCATCTATCTGTTGTTTTGATAAATTCTAATTGAGAGTGTATATAATTCGGCGACATCGTCCATATTTAACAAAACTTAACAACAAAAACAAAAATAAAACAATAACAACTTAATCACGGAAATCAGCAAAACAACAAGAAAGGCAATAGCATTCACAATGGATGTCAATCCCAGATTACGTATTTTGACAATTATGAATACATCATAGTCCGTCAAAATTAAAAAGCTGTACAGCAGAAACGTTTGAAGGGATTAGGCAACGTTTTAAATTTAGTAGAGTAATGTCATGAGAATCGTGCCGGAACTATCCAACCCTGCTTCTTTAGGTTCTTTAAGATGAACACTTTTTTATTGTTATAGTTATTAAATCATTTAAGTTAGTCAAATACTCATAAATTTGTTTAAAAGATAGCTTAAATGACAACAGTTAAGTATAGCAGCTGGTATTTAAGTGAATATGTAGCAAATTAGCCGTCAGTCTTAAGAGTAAGATGATTATTGATATTCTGTCACTAAGTATACCATAAAAAGTACCTTATTTAACTTCTGTCTAATGCTATAATGAATGGAGTATAGTATTGTATAACTATTCTAAACCGTCAAATAATATGTAACATAAAAAACATTGTAACAGTGGAACTTCCCTGTTATTATTGAAATGTACATATCAAAATCACAAACAACAATCTCATTGTACATTATGATTCTAAGAAACACATTACTATAAAGGAAACTTACGCTATTTTGTCAACAAAATATACAGAGCCAATTATCTCAATTAATCTATTCATTAATACAAGGAATCATAATTAAGTAACAATTAAAATAGTATCTAGTTAAATCATTCAATACCAAATATAGATTTTATTACAAGCCACAAGGTTTTTTTCTCTGTTTTGCGTGTTTATCATCAGCCTTTTTACGTCCCCTCTGCAGGGATGAGTCCTGGCCTGAGGGCCTTCCTCACTACTTCCTTACCCGGGCCATGACCCTCTATGCTGATCCAGTGCGGATTGGAGGATATTAACGACTGCGAATGCATCCGGGACCAATGGCTTAATGTGCTTCCGAAGCACGGAGTAGTTCTAGATAATAATAGTTTTTGGTCACCCATACCGTGACCGAACCTTGCGAAAGTTGCTTAAAAACAATGATCGCAAGCCGCGGCGCTTATCTGCCGAGCTACTGTCTTCTATATTATGCAAGTAAAATAAGAAGGGAATTAGTAAGTATATATTATACAGGAAAAAATTGTGTTCAGCGCACAAAATTTAACATTCCCATTGCTATGGTGAGTCATATTTACGTTTTTTTCTCTTTAAAAAAAGGATGTCTACAAACACGTTGCTAATTATGATATATTGTGAATGGAGTACGTGACGTTTGTATCAATATACCTACAGTTTGTTATACTGCCAATAAATATTAAAAAAAAAAACAAATTTTATCAATAAAATATGAATAAAAAAAATCTTCATAAGTATGTTTTATTAACGATACTTAATATAGGAAAATAAACTGCACTGAAAAACTTTTTTACTAAAAAAAATAGGATTTTACGAATCTTACGTGTTTGGTCTTATGATATTTTCGAAGAATATTGACGTATTAACCCACAGAGATTATGTCAACCGTCTTAGAATTGAAAAAAGTCGACATACCATTATCATGATCATGCTCCATCGTGTTTCAAAATAAGTTTGGCGTTATTAAACTAAAAATTTACTATATAAAATATATAATTCCATTTCTTTTTCATATTAAATATCACGTCATGACTAAACATATATCTTTCTGCCGTATAAATAAAATTCGTTACCTCATAAGATGGTTGATTCGTGCGGGCCAGTCGGGTCCATCGGTCTCCCCCTCCGGGGGGTTGAGGCAGAGAGCTTGTGTTATAAGTTCCGAATCAGAATGCGTCGACAGACCTACACCGCGACCCAAAACCTACAAACATTTAATACTGTCTGTATAATTACTATATTTAATTCTATTGCAAAGCTGCCGATATTATTCAAATTCGTGTGTGAAAAACTCGAAAGTATGTAATGATTTTGGATATTATTTTTATTTCATTAGTACACCGAAATTCCTACTATAACGCACTGATGATCCCACGGGAAGCAATCTAAACTCCTGCCGGAACATATACAGCGTCAAAGGAAAGCATGGCAATTTTAGTTAGCTATTTTTCTCAAAATTATGTCTAATGAAGATAGATACCTGTCACTATTTGAAGATCTGTGCGCTATTTCGTTGGTAGCAAAAGTAACATTAATTTGTACAACCTACGAGAAGTCTTCAAAAGAACATGCAAAACTACCGTGAACATTATTTATTAGATCATAAAGTGCTATTTCCATTGACGACTCACCATTTTTCTCAAACTGCTACAATTAACTAGTTCTCCATTATGTGCTACTGCAAGTGCGCCATGAGCGGTGTGTACCACGAACGGTTGACAATTCACCTCCTCTGACGCAGCCGACGTCGAATATCTGAACCATGGAAATACAAAACTTATTAATATCATAGTAAAGCTTATTATGACGTATACGAACATTTCGAAGTAATGTGAATGTAGCTTTAACAGTAACATCATTTTAGAAACGCATCCAAAATATCTTGTGTAAATGTCGCTTACGCTCTTGTTGTTATTAATTTATTTAAGACTATATTTTCTAAAAAATCAAGTATGTGAAGTATAGCTGTTATAATCAAAATATATATCAATTTAATTACCTGCATTGTTTCATCATAACATAAAAGAATGCTAAGCTAATTGGTAGCAATTCTCTTGCACTAAGCAAAGTTTGGGTTTGGTCCTGTTAAATTGTGTTTTTAATAGTGAAAATATCTAACAAGTAAATGTTAACAGTAAGGTAACAGAAGTAAACTTATTATCAAGGCAGAAACATAATTGATCACATATGACTATTGCATACAGTCAAAACAACCCAAATTAAAATTAGATTTTTTAGGTTAGAAAGTGTTACAACAGGATTGGCACTATTATCATAATTTAAAATTATTTAAATACAAAATAGTACTGACCTTGTGTGTCCAATGCCAAGGTTCCCTTTGAGTTTCTTCATGGCTTCATCGTTAAATATATTGTTTATCAGACCCATGCCTTTGTGTGAATTGAAAGTGCGCGCACTTTTGCCCTCAGAAGTCACTATCCCGGCTGATTCTTGTCCCCTAATCAATATTAAAACACACTTTCATATCACTTCGATATGAAATTCGGTATTCCGGATTTCATGTCACAGTTAAATCGAATGTGAAATCATCAAACTGAGCAAGGCTTCGCCACCTTTGGTGCTTACGTAATATTCAGATGGCCGGCTCGACAAACTTTTGATACGGCAAAGCCATAAGTTAAATCATCACTTTTTAAAATATCACTGGTTAAACAATATCTGAAGAATAAAAATATGCAATGTATCATAAAAATTGAATAACATATACCGGTGTTGTAGCGCCACCAAGCCCAGGCATATCACTTGTCCTATGTCAACTTGTGTCGGCCACTCGCCAGTTCCAATCGCTCCAAACACGCCGCATTCGTGCGTTAACCCTGTGTTACAATACAGGATAAGTTTACAATAGGTTCAGCTATTGTTTCTATGGTATAGTATCGTTCATAGAATATATTCACGTTTGTTTTAATTGAAGTAGACAAACCATAGGTATATAAATCCGTCATCAACCTTCGGCGTACAGTAGGGATATCATAAGTAGCAACGTGATTATAGACATTTATTTTTCTTATCTCCAATATATTATACAAAAGAGGAAAAAACATTAATATAATTTTCAGAAACACATCAGACACAATATTATTTGTGTACTGATTATGATATTTTCCTGTATATATTAATTGATAGGTTAATTAATTTATATAGGTATATATATAAATTAATTTTCCCCATGGGAGCATCACTGAATTCTCAAAAAATAATCAGCTGTTTCATACTGCAATTTTTTTTACGAGATTTTTTTTCGAGAACAGTAAAAGTTATTCAGTATATATAACTCATTCAACCCACAAGTTGAACCTTTAATGTGATTTTTAACCAAGATTAGTGCCTTTAATTTGCTATATTACTATATAGATCCAAGAAGCTTGAGTCGTTTTCATGGAACTAAAATATGAACCTACCAAAGATGTGGGATGGTAACTACCATTGAAAAAAAGTCAAATATTTAATACAGCTCAGAGCTTTTTTCCTATATGAAAGTATAGATCCTGATGGACATTTTGATATAATAAACTCATTTTCTACCAATTTGTGGGTTGGATCCTTTTTGAGTAACTACGTCCAATTTATGTGTATTCATGTGTGTGTAAGTGTATGTGTGTGATGAAAGCACAAAGTTCAACGAGTTAAACTAATTAAAAACTATCACAAATATACTGAGATTTTAATTGTTGGAACTCGTGACTAAATAAAATTATTATTCAAAATAAAACAGACCGGCAATCTTATCACTCACGGCATAATACAGACGATCAGTATTAAATTGACCTTTCTTGAATATTTCATCATTGCCGAGATAATTATATCTGGTATCGAGAATTCGTATCCGATTTCAAATAGCACAGCATCGCGCAATCGTCGTCATAACTTGAGTAGAAAATAATCGAATGGTTATCTCGCAAATTTATTATTGACTAATTTATCTGACTTCTATAGTCGCTGATTGCAAGGTCTCGAGACTGTACGTCACTATGCTTATTATATATTGATATAAAATCATCATAAGATGATATAACTTTTCTTATGTCCTATAGCTAAATGACACTGCGAACTTTATATCGCCTTTTTTAAATAAAATTATTATGTTTGGAAACAAAACGTGGAAAATACACGTTATTTATGGTAGATAAGATTACTCGCATAAGAATATTTGAAATCGGGTACAATTGTGCACAAATACATATAGACTAAAATCCTTATTATTTTGGAACGAAAATCCAACTTAGATTCATTTGTTTCCGAAAAACGCAAAGTTTTCATGTGTTCGGAAACAAACGAATTTGACACTCAATTTTTTATCAAGCTAATTATTCCCATTTGCCTCCAAAATTCTTTGAATTGTTTAAAAAAAGTCTTCTGTAATAATATACTAGGTGGCGATGTATCTTAAAAAGTGTGAACTCATAAGAAGCTATAGCCTTATACCAAACTTCCGAAAATCCCTTGGATGGGATTGGTGTGAAAACATCTTTTCAATAGCCATCCAATTGTAACTACTCATTATATACTATATATACTAGACACGAATTGATAAAACTGTTAACATTCAGATATAGCATGACAGCCCCTGCGGATTATCCCGAGCTTGTTATTATTCAACAGATTCCAAAAAAAAAATCTTTAAAATCAAATATTACCACAGACCTGATTCCACCGCGCCCCTCCCGTACCTCTTGCTTCGCACCTTCACCTCTGGTTGTGTTTTGCTGCAGTGACAGTTGTTCTCGGTGCTGACGTCCAGAGAGAGCCTGTCAATGCCCTCCGCGCTGGTGGTCGCCCTACACAGCCTATCGCATGGAGTTGGTCCATTTGGACCTTCCATGGCTTATCTGTAAATAAATAAATAAATATTTAACAACATCACATACACTGCTCAGATTCCAAGATGAGTAGCTAAAGCCCCCGTATTATGGAGTATCTGAGTAACGAAGGTACCACAACACCCAGACCCGAGTCAATATAGAAAAGTTTATAAAAAAAAACTGCATATTAATAATTTCATTCACAATGTTACGTTATTAAATTTAAGCATGATGTCTAGCATAAAAGTATTAACATAATTATAGCTTAATAACATCATTTTGGCTGTCGGCAAACAAGCAACAGTGATAATTCATATATTTTGCATCTCAAATGAAAGTACTTAAGTATTTAAGCGAACAAAATATTTTTCAAATTGTCTACATCCACTACCTAATTGTGTTTTATGAAAAACCTAAAGTATTAATATCTCTTTAAAACACTTAATATTTTTTAAGATGGGCTAGTGAGAAATAGTTTTGTATTACTATAAAAATACACTTACAAACCACTTTCAATAACTTTGCAATACAACAAGTGAAAGGGTTAATAACCGAGTTCACGCGACTTAATCTGTAACTACAACAACACTGACTAAAGATGTAAGCGTGCGCGTTGACGTTATAACCGTCAGTGTTTCATCGCAGAAGAGCTTTTCATTACAATTGCCTGATAAAGAAATTAAAATACGCAATGCCTATTATTTGATAATAGCATAAATGAGGTCGCTAAACAAAACTATATAGAAAAACGTCATCAATACACTGTTGAGTACCCCAAATTCTAAATAGCGTCAGATGAGAATAACAATAACACAGATTGACGTCACGATAGTTTTCTGGAATAGAGATAATGATTCTCAATAGATTGTAAGCGTCGTGGCATTTCTTAACAACATTCCTCTAACCATTCTATTTCTTTAAAATTATGTTGGAGCAATTTTCGAGGACCTGTTCTCGCTAGAAAGGTAAGGGATAAACAAACTTACAGAACGGTATTAAACTTATTCATCCATAAATATATAAATGGGAAGTTTGTGTCAATTGTCTCAGATACAAGCCGCAACCGAAGACAAAGACTACTACGTTGACTAGAAGCCTTCGGCCGCAATTAATTTGAATACGTATTGGATTTACTTTCCTTGCGATATCATCGACTTAAGAATAGTAATCTTTTAGTAAAAACACCGCTAAGAATCGTTATCAAGTTGAAACTGCACGCCATAGCTGCTAATAATAAATTTATCAAGACTTATTAACCCCTGGCTTCTCAACTTGATACAACCAGCTACATCTCATTCCGACTTGTAAGCCAATAATTTGATTATAACAGATTTTTATTACACGAACAAATAATAAACAAAGGTATGTATACTTAATATTCCAATATTGTTACTTACGAAAGAGGTTTGAAATGCTATTAAGAAAAACCTTCTATATGCCTCAAGGCAACGCAAGTTAACAGTATTCGACTGTGGACTACTAGATTTTCAATAAGACTTCTCTGTGTGAAATAAAACAGGGAGAAAAAAACAGTCCTTGCTGAGTTTCTTGCCGGTTCTTCTCAGTACAAGGTCTCCCGCCGTAGTTTTGCGAACCGGTGGCGTAGTTTTCGACTTTCACAAGCGCTCTGTAAAAGCCTAAACTGAATAAATAAATTTTGATTTGATCCCATTTGTGTGAGAAATTAACTAGAAATGTGATTTTATTTGGCCTGATGCGAAGCAAATATCGTGGAGTGTGTGAAAAATGATATTGCTCAGAAACAGATTAGTCGATCAATAAATACGCGATCACAAACCCGAGATCACAATATGCACCCACAATGTGGAACGACTTCAACAATCACGTGTTCGTAAGCCGATAATGATCACACTTCTGACCCACTTTCTATCTATACTGTATCAAACTATGCCCTATTAGATTATTACCCGGTTTCTGAATTGAGACTTTGAAGTTAAGCACGTCTCAAACTACACTTAAACCGACTAAAGTCACTTAAACAGGTTTCCGTTTCTGATATTTATTTTTTAATGATCAGTTGATAGCAATTTGATAAAACTAGGACATTTTTTCATGTGAAACGTAAAAAAACTTAGTTTACTTTAGAGATCTTGCACTTTCCTCAATCCAGATACCGGCTGTATACATTAAAAATCATTGCCAACTCAATGATTACATAAAAAAGCAATATTAAAGATTTGAGTGCTGAATTTTATATCCATATTCTGACGCGACACTCACTGGCGTAATGTGAACAAACAAATTGATGAGCGAGACAAATATTTTTACCGCGTGATAGATTAATGTAAACAATGGCAATTCAAGCGCAGTGTGGCATCATACGAGGGTCATCTACGATACGCGAGCCGCTGGGGGCACGTATCAGCTGACACCAGCGTACATTTCCACGAGGGTACAAACAACCAGATAGCGTTTGGAAATTATTACGGTACAGTTATTGTCTGATATACCTACATACGTTTATATTTAGAACTATCTCAGAGTCGATACCTACTTGTTACGATAGGTAATGTTGGTGTCAACCTTTATGACAATGTTTATGCTATGATGCAATCTTGATTACAGAATTTGGATGAAGTTGCGATCAGATGCGGTTAAATTTAATAATAATAATATTTATTGAAATCTTTAAAAAAATTCTTAAAGCAATATACTTTAAAATAACATCATGTGCCTGAACTAGGTGATCGTTGTCAGGCAATCAATTTTATATTAAAAAGCGTTATATATACCTATAGGAGTATGAAGATATAATATTATAAAGTGGTACCTAGTCTAATTTAGTTTGTAGGGGTAATCTTGGGAAATAATCCAAACAATGATTCTTTCACTTACGGGAAGCTAAATAATACTCGGGTAACATAGACTATAAATTACACAGGCGAAATCGCAGAAAAACAGCTATTAGTATATAGATAATCAATCATATAGGAAAATGAATTGGAGATTGCGCGTATCGCATAACTAAACAAATTACGAAACGACGACGCGGCGTGGTATCAGATTAAATTATTAGGTTTCACGTGGGTGTAGCAACATTTGTGATGTAAGATTGGCGTAGGCTTTATCGAACAGCTTTACGGAAGTACACCTGGAAAACAATGTTTATTCAATGCTTATCCGAGATTAATTTACTGCAAGCATTAGAAATGTGTAAATTTACAACTAGACATTTGTTCCTGCTCAAATAAAGGATTTTTCAATTGACAGATTTTAATGGTAAATTACAAATACATAAGCAGCATATAAGTACATAAGCATTTGTCAACTAATTAAATTCTCTGAACATTTGTAACCGACGCGACGTTACGAATAGGGATGAAGGCTGATTTCCTTTTTGTATTTTAGCTCTTTTTATAAGTTGGTTAATTATTATTTACGCCTTTTATTAGTAGCTTAAATAATAGTTTATATCTTCAAAACTACTGAACCGATTTTGATGAAACTTGAAGTGTACCCAAAGTTGGAGTTAAGCAAGTAACCAAAAAATAATCATTGCAAGCCAACCTCTAGTTTACGAGATATCCGTGGACAAACACACAGACATATATACATACATCTATAAAATTTTGCACGTCTTTAGAAGCCCATACAGACAAACATATATGAATATTACGCCATTCCAACGAAATATGAAAAAACATAACATATACTATGTATCTCGAATTCATAACCTCCTTTTTTTGAAGTCGGTTTAAAATTGTTTAATTATACGTGTCTTAGATATTCTATTTTTATGTCATTTCGAAACTCACTTCACTTATGTCACTAAACATTATTACTAAGTCACAGACACTAGTGAATTCGAATTCGGGTTCGGGTTCGGATTTTTACAGAATGGCAGGGCTGAGTTCAAAATGCCTACAAGTTGATCCAAATCGAGTCTGTTTCACCTAACCTAACAAATTAAATGAAACCTCATAACTGAGGCACTGGATTAATCTGGCAAAATGAACTGTCAGCTGACTAATCAAAATAAGTCTAGGATTCGAAAGACCAAACATAATAATATAATAGTTAGTCTAGTTTGATTCCATGCTATATGGCACCTATTTATATATTAATATAATGATTGTTTTCTCAATTACTGAGTGCAGATTATAGACCTTATAACTGCCAGGCCATGACAACTGGGCCAATAGCGAAGTAGCCATTACTTCCAAGGAATTTGTAGATAAATTGATATCTCAATACAACTAGAGGCTTATTATTTAATAATAATACAACGACCTCCTCGCCATGTCCGGGTTCGATTCTAGTAGTCAATGAAAAAACGGCCAAGAGCAAATCATTCTCCAAAACCGGCGGTTCCGCAAAAATATTAAAAAACAATATGTATACTACCATTATGTTGTTTTGTAATGTATACATACATATATAGAACTCATATGAAACTCTTGGGCTACAAATTACGAAATAAATCTATATTTTTTTCATAATTTGAAGCCCTAATCAACCTAGTACTGTTTAGACTCAAGATTCAAGATTCAAGACTCAAGATTCAAGACTCAAGACTCAAGACTCTAGATTCAAGACTCAAGGTTCAAGACTCAAGATTAATATTGATCACAATCAATATCAATCCATCCTAGTGGCGATACCGTGGGCAATTACTATTGCAACACCAAAAACTTCAGTTCTGCTTGATAAATATTCAGGGAATAAAAACACTGCCTTATTAGCCTTATAAACAATATGAGTCCTAAACAATAGTTAGTTAGTTGGCAGAAACTAACAATTGTTTTCAAAACCCATTTCACAATAAAGAATGAATAGAATAGAATAGAATATTTATTATATTTGCCTTTAAATAGGGTACAATTTGATAGCAATTATTTAAAATATAATTAGAACTTAAAACCTAATGAAATGAAATTTTGTGTGTCAAAATTGTCCAAAAAAGCAATTTGAAAATATGCAGAACATATTAATGAGAGCCATACATAATCACGTACCCCAAGTTAATATGATAACTAAAACAAACCTAAACAAACCCTGGGTTAAGAAGGAATTATTGGATATGATGCACCAAAAGAAGATTGCATGGAGGAGATATACCTTGACCGGGACAAGTGACGTGTATCGAGAATATAGAAAGATCACAAATAAACTTACAAATGTAAGTCGTAAATCAAGAGCTATGTATGAAAAAAAATTGTTAGAAGGTGGAGGCAAGAAATTCTATGCTTATATTAGGCAACAAACAACGTCAAAAGTTGGTATACCAGATACACTGCGCGGCTGGCTAGACCAGATTGTAACCCATCCGAAGGAGATTTCTGAGATTTTTGCAGATCAGTTTTCTAGTGTTTTTGAAACTGAGCCTGATATACTCCCGACTATGGATCAGTGTCTCCGAGTCGAAGAATCGGTAGACG